ATTGTCTTCGCGACACTGGAATACGCACGTAAACGGACGTTCAGCGAGAAGAGTGTCGTACACGTGTCCTCGTAACATCCAGCCCAAAATGGACTTCTCTGATCTACCACCTGCAGGACACTTAGTGGTTACTGCGCTGTAGAGCAGGAGAGCTAGAACGAAGGTACGGAAAACTATTCTTGCGGTCATATCTGGAAGTAAAGAACATAAAAGTATTTTGTTAAAACATAAACTTTACAAAGGTGAACTTAACTGATTAATTCGTCGAACGTTTCCCCCTAAGAAAAAACTTGCATACTACAAAGCATCCAAAATAGCCAATTTTCAAAGCGAATTTGATAATACTTGTAGAAACTGTAACAAACACATTTTTGTTCGAAATAATTTTATATTGATTCCTCCTCTTTAAAATGCACCCGCTGGTTGTTGCCTAGAGGAATTAATGAGCCGGTAAAACAGAAAAGCTAACTCGAAGGTGAATGCGCTATAGCCATTTTCTCTGTTGTCACGCACACTTTTCTCTACGAATTTTCATCTTTACCGCCGTACATGAAAAATTCCCGGATCTTTCGCGGCATTCTGGGCGATGAGTTCTTCTTAAAATTGTGTTAAAATTCAAAATACAAGCCTTAGCGCCAAGCAGTTTTTAGTCTTGTTTAACGAAAAGTGAGATGGTTGTGATTATACTGACTATAGCTAAATGCAAATAAGAGAGAACTAACTTGCTCGGGCAAAGCATAGTGTTTTACTAAACCACACCTTTTCGTAAAAGTCGTAAAATTCGTTTTTATTCTTTTTATGTGCCATTTTTTACCATCTATCAAAATGCATGCCATTAAAGAATAGTGTTCAGTTAAGATAAGAGTCTGTATACTATTTAACAATAACTTTCAATTAGAAATAATCAGGCAATATTCTGATCAAAAAGGAAGATTTATTATTATAGACATGGAAATAGATAACAAGGTTTTAACTTTGGCCAACATTTATGCACCGAACAAGGACAATCCTACTTTTTCCCAAAATCTTCTCGATCATTTGCTCTCTTTTGAATGTGAAGAAATTATTATGGGGGGCGACTTTTATAATCTGGTCTTAGACGGTTCAGAGGAATAAAAAAGGAGGAAACGCGACAACGCATAGAAATCCGCTTAAAAAAGTCCAGAACATAGCGAACTCGCCGAACCTAATAGATGTGTGTCGAACCCTAAATCCAGACGGTAAGCGTTTTACCTGGCGGAGAACTAAACCTGAAGTGCACTGTCGTCTCGACTATTTTATGATCAGTTCAAGCTTAATCACAGCAATCACAATTGCAGATATTTTACCGGGTTATAGGACCGACCATTCCCTCGTTACAATCCACCTTGCTGGTAATAATAACCCTAGAGGCCCGGGTTCTGGAAGCTCAATACGTCTTTTCTGTTGCGAGTATATTGAGTTAATTAAAAAAACTATCGATGAAGTTGCAATGGAGAACAGAAACAATGACGATGTAGATGCTGTCCAGCCCTCCTCTGGGACGCTATAAAGATGCAGATTCTTTCTAGCTAGCTAAAATATGCAAGAGAAAATCAGATTCATATAGCAGAGTAAATTGATCATCAAAAATTGGCATTCTATACTAAAATTTTGAAATAAACACTTTGACCACCGGTCATTTCGCTCCCGGTCAGACTCAACCAGGGGCGCCCCCGCTCAGTAATATTTTCCCTTTTTAATAAAGCAACTTTTTTACATCAACAAAAAATTGTGCAGGAAATGGAAGATTGAACAGAACAAAATTTTCAAAGGAGTGCTTAACTCTGTGTCAATTCTTTCTATTCTCTATCCTAAATTTTAGGATATTAAGTACCCCTGATAAAATCAGAATCAATAGTTATATATATATTTTTTTGTTCAGTTTTAGAAAAAAAATCCTATATTCTTGAAGAAAAAGCAAATTCAATGCTGCAGTTGGTTACTTTTAGTAAGTGAATGGAGATGCATTATTTTTAAGTCTTATATGTTTTGTTTTGTTTCTTTTTTCTTCAAAATTATATATCGAGGATGGGCTCAGTTTTTAAGGAGAGTGAATAAAAATTAGCAGGTGAAATAAGTATTAGTCATGAGATTCGATGTCAGGTTTGCAAATAATAGGACCTCTAGGACCTCAAGTTACACAAACACTTTTTTGAATTACTGGGGTAGAATTTTATTTCTCTTCCTGAATGACTGTCAGTTGCAAATTACATTTTCTCTCTTGTACTGATATATTCATGAATGTATTTAGTATTTCTGAAAATATTAATCGGTTAATCGGTTAATCATTCAAAATTTGGACTTTTAGCGCTTTTTGTATATCTCTGAAACGACTTGAACAAATTTTTTTAAAACTTCTTCACATAATCTTCATAATGTAATATAATTATTTCCTAGCTTATGGCGCAATAATTTGCCAAGGCCGTTTGACGACTAACGCTAAACCCCATTGGGACCTTCATACCAGGCAAATTATTGCGCCATAAGCTAGGAAAATATCGGAAGCGCCTGGATTCTGTTGCATTTAAAACATTATTCTGAAATTGACTTAAAATAAATGAGGCTTTTTTTAAAGTTACAGCATTAAAAGAAAATTTTATGCTTTTTTCACACTTTAATTTGTTTGCGTTTTCTGGCTCATTGATGGGTTTCTTTTTTTCTTTCTTGTTTAGAGTGCATGAGCCTTCCCAATTATTGACTAAACCGCACTAAGGCACCTGTGACAAGACCTAACAAAAAATGGCATATATACCATCAGGAGCTTCTATTAGACAAATTAACAACCACGACGGCGACAACATTGAGTGAATTTGCGTCGTTTTTCTAGCTAGTTAAAATGCAGATCGACTTAAAACAATAACAAAGCAAAACAAAAACCACATCCAAATTGGGAAAGAAAGAGAAAAATTTGTCGTCGTTTTTTGACGTCTTTTACAGACCGTAGTCTTAGTCTCTCGAAAAGGATTACAAATATTTTAAAAAATGTGATGCATTATATATAGTGGACAGTTGCGAATGACCGATCCTGGTCTATACAGGCGTTGGTTTCCGCCTTAATTTGGAAAAATTAGCATAACGTCAAAACAGTGAATGTTGTAGCGCGGATTTTTCAACGGTTCCTAGGATAGATTTCTCTTGAAATTTCAAGGTGTTGCAGTGAATCATTCTTAATGAAAGTTTCAGACATTGTTATAATTTTACATTATGAAGATTATGTGAAGAAGTTTTAAAAAAAATTTGTTCAAGTCGTTTCAGAGATATACAAAAAGCGCTAAAAGTCCAAATTTTGAATGAAGTTGCACTTTAATAGACGGGTGGTCAGAAAACGTGTTAGTTTTTAAGATCGCAAGAACGAAAATACGCCAAAATTTCCTAGCATCGAAATATGATATTAAACAGCATTCTGACACTACTTAAGAATAATTTGAGCCATTTATAACGTTTTCATTAAATTAACTATCACGGCTATTGAAAATTTAAGGGTTTGAATATATTTTCGTTTTAGTCGAATTCAAACATGCAAAATTTTTTACTTCTTACGGAAGTCATTTGCTTAACACCAAACTTTAAGTTCCCAGTGTTAGATTTTCAGTAGCTGGTCTAGATCGCGCAAAATTAGGCGTTGATCAATTTCAAAGTTTTTTGTTTATTGTTGTCATAGTAATCATATCGATTTTACTAAAGCCTAGTGTTTGACAAATTTCAATCTATAGTCAACCATTGGTGAAAATTTTATAGCGATCAGACAAGGATAACATCACTTTTAAAGCGATTGAAAAATATCGGTATGGCCTCTGAAAAACTATATGGAAACACCTTAACTCTGTATTATTTAGAAACTTTAGCTAATGTTTTTTCGCTTATACAGGGTGTAATAATTATTAATCTTGGTTGGCGAAAGCGAAAACAAAAGGAACCTTGACAAGAACAGTCAAAAAGTAAAAATTTCACTCACATGAGAGTTCTGTTACCTTGCACTTTTCTGAGACTAGAGTTTTACAAGTTCAATTCCACAGCGATGTTCGCAATAGCGTGCAAGGTTTAAGGTTTTGACGATCAGGCTCCGAATTCTTCCTCCACTTTGAAATACTTCTCGAAAACAGTGTCCATTCAATGATTTGGATCCGTTAGGAAAGTCGCACATCAAGTTCTAAGTCTGTTACGGATACTGTTAAATGACAAAGTTACTCGGCCCATGGCCCGCTAATGGGAAAGCTAAAACGTAAATGTCATCAGCCCACGGCAGGTCGCTAAATTGATGTAAGCTGGAGGGTAATTTGACCAACGCCATGCATATTGCCAATTAAAATGAACTTAAAATTTTTCAAATGGCTGCCTTTAAAAATTCCCTTTACAAAGACGCCAGTTTTAGAGCTCCTCATCTTGACCAAAGCGATCTCCAAATCCAGCGTAATCCCCGCAACAGACCATCATTTCACCATAAGAAATATAAAAATAATACTCGATCCTCTTATAATTATACCCGTCAGAAAATGTATTTAAATACAAAAATAAAAAGTACAAACAGGAGCGTTGTGAACTGGAATTTTAAATAAGCTCATTTCTAGAATTTTGTGGATTATTTTTGGCTTATGAACCGGCAGTTTTCTGCACTAAGCGCCCAACTTAAAATAAAACATCAAAATGTGGCCCTCAAAGAGCGAAGACTTTCAAAACTATATTGACACTCTTTTCTGGAATTGGCACCTAATTATTTTATGAGGCTTAAATGCAAAAAGTCGTTCATCTGGACATTAATTTTTCAAAGAAATGCTTTTTTTGTTTTAAAATTCTCGAGTATCTACGCAGATGCCTTCGCGCGCAAAGGTCGAAAAGACTCGATAAAGAATGAAAGTAGAATTAAAAGGTAATTAATGTTCCATGCCCTCCGCTTAGTCGTTCTAAGCGCTTCATCACGACTATCTTCCTCCCTTACGAACGTCGTTCGCGGGAGAAAATGATATAACAAAGCCCGGCGAAGTAGTCTGAGAAGGAGGCTATAATGTTCCCTATACATGAAAAATGAAGTGCAGAATTACAAATTAAATCTAACTGCAAATGCAGTTCGGTGCATAGCAAATGTATTAAGATAGAAGCCATTAAATGAAGTCTTATACATGACAATTTTACCGGCGTTTTTTCACTTCATATGAAATTTGAAATCTATA